GTGAAATTGTATTACCTTTAATTTTAGGATCCAGCCATATCTGGTAATGAAACCGATTACCCCGCCTTCACCAGAGGTTTGGAGAAGGATGTCTTCATAAAATGGCCCAATACCAATGACATCATCTACGCAAAGGTGCCATTCTTAAAAAGCTGATTATTTTATCCAAATAAGCATCACGCCAGGTTAGATGTTGGGGAGAAGACTTCTAGTATCACGTACATTCTGAAATTTAGTTGACACATTGAGTGCTACAAATGGAAATGTCTCCAGTTTGTGTCACCATTGGACTATGTAGCAGCAAAGCTTTATTGCTGTTGATATTAGTTTTTTATAAATTTGATTATTTTAACACCTCCTTCCTCCTACTAGGTCTGGCCAGATCTTCCCAACGTAGAAGTTAATAACACACTGGATTGGGAAACGCAAGTGGAGGTAAATGTTGATATCTTTTGGTGACTGACACGAATAGAGAGGGAGCAGCAAAGTCATTAAGGTTTGTAGGAGTGAACTGGCTGATAAAATTTAATATAAGACGACAGATGCAGAAAGTGACCAGCTTTTCTACCAGAACATCCAAAAAACCTAAATAACATCAGAGTGAGTTGCAGAAACTGTCCAGCCTTTCTGCCAGAACATCTAAAAATTGTAACGAAACTATGAATTTTTAAAGAACAAATTCCAACATTTTAGTAGTGGGTTGCTTTCAGTCCTGTCTCTAAGCTTTATTTTTTTATTGCTACTATTTTTACAGCTCTACCGAGCACATGTAGCTTTTCCAGATTTCTTCCGCAATTCCACAACTGAATGGTGGATGAGAGAAATCACTGAAGTCTACACAAACCCACACAATGCATCGAAAAGCTTGAAGTTTGATGGCCTATGGATTGTAAGTGTAAAAAATTATTCTATTTCTGACATTTTCCTGCATCCTTTTATCCTAAGGTTAGTTCTCAACACCTCAAAACCCAGCAATGTTCTGGGCCTCCAGACGTTTAATGCTAAATATCATGAATGGTTGACTAAAGTTTAAAAATCCTTCTTCTTGTTAACAGCATCATTATTTGTTCTTTTTTTTGCCTGTTGAAAAATTTTACTTTCTCAAATCTTCATTATTTACTTTTGACCTGCCTAATGGCTCTTTTGCAGTGCTGTTTTTCTTCTATAAGTTCCTAAAGTTTGGAGGGTTTTTTTGGCAATGAGAGACTTATTTTTCACCATTACTACTTCTGTGAGGCAAAATGAGATAAATAACAGGTTTAGCTTGCTTCTTAAATAAAGTGGACTTGCAATACCTGTAGAATCTATTAAATATTAGTGTATTCCTATAGAAAATCCCAAAATGTCTAGAAATGCAGTAAAACATTTGGTATTTTCCCGTACCCCAGCTCTGGTGAACTGTTGCAACCAGAGGACCACAGGCACCGAGGACAAGAGCCATCATTACGAAGTTCAGAGATCTTAGTAATTTACATATCTGTAGCTATATTTTCTATATTGATTTCAATTTTACACAGAGGAAAACCTGCCTTTTTCAGGACATATGACTGATAAATAAGTACTTAAAACTGAAGCCTCTGCCTTCAATTAATCTCTATGAATTTGATGCGTCACTCTCTGGGAGATGAGATGTTCAGAACCTGTCTGTGAAGGGAATTGCTCGTCAGAAAAATTTATCTGTTGAACCATTGTTTTATATTGATTAAAAAAGAAATGCACTGGGCGGTCCTGAAAATCTGCATTTTCCTGTTCATTTCATTTACTCAGTCAGCCCGCTGACAAAGAGAATTAAATATTAGGGGCACAAACGAAAATAGCTGAAAGGAACTAATTGCCCAAATTTCAGAGAAATTTGTTCATCTGGCATTTTGCTTTATGTTTTCAGGACATGAACGAACCTGCAAGCTTCGTTAGTGGTGCCGTTGGTGGCTGTAGAAATCAACAGCTAAACTTTCCACCATATGTACCCCGTAAGTCTGATCACTGCTGTACATGATGTAAATGTTTTGGGTCACTCTGGTTTGTATAGAACTTCTTACATGCTAGTTTTGGCATAAATGCCTAAAATTAGGTAGCCAAATCCGTAACTGAACCCGTAACAGAAAGTCGACCAATTTTTGGAGAAGATCAACACTCTTAAATGCAGTCTTTGTTGGTGAGGATAGTGACCACATGGCAGTTCTGAAAATCAAGATTTTTTTTTTTTTTTTTGCTAGACTTTGGTATCTATTTTCTATTGAGGTAATTTGCTTTGGACATGGTCAAGGCTATGGCTTTCAGGGTTTTGCATAGTTTTCCCAGATGAAAAAGACAATTAATGACTAAAACTTTAAAAAATATCCTTGTGCCTCCTCTGATTATTAGTTACTTATATGTAAAATTATAAGGCCTAATTTGAGGCACGGTCTTGCAATCTTTGGTCGTCTTAGCAGGCTGTAGCGTAGGACTAATTGGCAATAACTCACTAATGCTTTATTAGAATACTTCTGTTGCTTTCTGATGTGTTTAAATATCATTTCTCAGAGTGTTCAGAAATAGACTTTCCCCCCCAAGTTTTCTGGGTATATGGCTGACGCAGTCGTATTTACAAAGATTTGCAATATTTTCTGAGTTTGGATATATTCTGTTTACTCTTTGATCCTCTTCAGTAAGAGCATCTATAACTGAGCTACTATTTCTCTTGCAGACCCAGATACTTACGCAGGAGTATCAGGAACTTCAGCATTTCAAAAATTTCTGAAATTGAATTTCAGCATTTCCTAAATTTCTGAAATCCAACCTCAGAAAATCTAAAATGTTGTTTTCTAAATAAATAAATAAAATAAATGACCACGTAAATACATAAAAGGAAGTGAACACCAATGAAGATCATAGAATCATGGAATCACAGAATGGTTTGGGTTGGAAGGGACCTCTAAAGGTCATCTAGTCCAACCGCCCTGCCGTGGGCAGGGACATCTTCAACTAAATCGGGTTGCTCAGATGATGCAAATTGAAAGAAAAATTAAATTGTTAAAATTCTTACAGGATGTAAATTGTTAAAATACAAGTGTCTTCATTCCCTTTCCAACAGAGCTAGGATCTAGATCCGAGGGATTGATTTTCAAAACGCTCTGCATGGAAGGTCAGCAGTATCTCCCAGACGGTTCCCCAGTCAGTCACTACAACGTCCACAACCTTTACGGCTGGGCACAAACAAAACCCACCCTCGAGTAAGCTGCATTTTTTTTTTGTTCTTTCCAAAATATGTTGCAAATTAATATTCGTGTCTATAATCTCATGATGAAAAATTTCACCAGTTTATTTACCAGAAATATTTTTTTTCTCGTAATTTTTCTTTTCGTCTGAATACCTTCAGTTCTTCAATTCAGTTAAAAGTGAATGATTTCACTCAAAAAACCCCACCCCCGAAACCACTCTTCTGTCTCCCTGAACTGAGAACAATTCTGAACACTTTGATTCATCAATCAAAAACAATTAGTCAATGACCGTCTCAAGTGCTTCGAGCAATTCAAGTACACAAAAACTCTTGTTTCCGCCTATTTCTATGATAATGTGGTTTATTTATAGTGTTGATCTTCTTTTGGCCTTACAACAAGGGAGGGAAAATGAATATAGATTTTAAAATATAAGTTACAATACAGCCATTAAGTGAATATCATTAAAATAAATTAAATGGTACTGAAAAGGGAAAACTGATGGCTGAAAGTTAAATCGGGTGCCTGGGTTTTCCTTCTAAGAAATTGTTTTCTCAGTTCCAAGACAAATTTTATGATATATTTCACACTGAATCGTATTGTAGCCTGTTTTTGATAACTTCTGCTGTAACGATAATAAACCAACGTTTCATTTCCAGTTTAACGAGCAAGCAAGGAACAGTGTTTCTTTACAGATCTCCATGACCTCACCCCCCTTGGTAACATTAATACTAGCGTAAATACAGAAAAAATCAAGTCTACTTGAATTTTTTTTGACTGAGGGGATGTTACATTTAGCAGCTGACAAGACAGGAAGGACATAACAATAATTATTATTATTGTATTATCAGCCAAATCTAAAGGAATTTGGTTCTTGTTTGTAGACAGCAATTGAACATGAAAGGGAATATTATCATTGGCTCTGACTATGAAGTCTGTGAAGAAATATTTTCTTCTGTTTTAAGAAGCACTATAATATATTATGTTAGATAATATTGTATATCATAACATTATTTATTATCATAGATTATATCATTATAATACATTATCATATAGTATCATATATTATCATATAGCATATTCTTACATTGTATTGTATTATACTGTATTATACTATATTATATATTGTATTATATATATTGTATTATATATTCTATATGCTAATGTATTGCAAAGAAATAAAAGAGAGCAGAAGACTTACCGTGTACCTTGGAAGAAATTATCATACCACGTTAGTCTCGTCTCATTACTGAGGGAATTTAGTGAACAGGATGTTTTTGCAGGAATTCGAGTGTCCCAAAAGCTGCAAATCCTGTGGAAAAATAGCGAGTACCTTATTTGAAGCAGTTATTTGGGCTGTTGTGGTGGAGGTACCAAGAGAACAAAGCGATTTCATCAGTGCAGGGCTTTAACTAGTATTTTTTGTGAATTTTTACAGATTGCAGAGGAATTCTCCTAGGAAATCAGACAGTTAATGCACACAACATAGATCAACAATATATGTTTTAGCAAAAAGTGCCAGAATCATCAGAGAAATTAAGCAGCATAAATTCTGCCTCAGTTAATTTTTTTTTTTTACTTTTTTTACTTTTCTTGACTTTTCTTTTTCACTTTGACTTTAAACTTTTTTTTAACTTGGTTACCTTTACAAGTCTCTTGCCATGGTGGTCCAAGACTTCTCTGAGGAACCGAAATATGTTATTTAGTTTTTGAGAAATGGGGGAGAAAAGAAAAAAAGAAAATTAAATTCCCTTCAGCACCTCCTTGAACAGTTATTAACCCCTGGCCTAAACCACGCCACTCTTGTGCTTATGGAAAAGCCAAATAAAATAAAACCAAAAAGTTGGCTCATGCCATCAACCAGCTCTTTGCTGTGAGGCCCATTCCTACTCTGAGACAAAAACCTCAACTTCAATATGATCATTTGTAGACACATCCGTGATGGCTAATTTCAAATAATCTTATTTCCTTTGCAACAATGACAGCTCAAAGGCTCATTTTTTTTGTTCCAATACCCTTTTGGCAACGAATGCTATACTGCCAGGGCTAATATTCCCAGGACTTCTGTTGTTCTCCCTTATTATTTCCTTGGTCTGAATTTTGTTAGGATCATTTTTAATCATTGCCACAAATTTTCTGGTATTGCAATAACGGACTAATGTGCCCTGCACCAGCTCATGTAACCCTTAAAAAAAAAAAAAAAAAAAAGTCTAAATTGGGCTACCCTTCTGTTTTTCCATAAAGTCATTAGCCTTAACTGGAAATCCTTAATTTCGCGCCTTCTCCCTTTGCCAGTTCATTTTCTAACTACGAGTTGGTTGACAATTAATTCTTAGTTTCTGCAGATATGTGGGTCATAGTAAATTCCAATAAAAACCACATCTCAGTTGGGTTCATGGCTGCTCATACTCACAAGGACAGCACAGCAGTGCTTTCCTACAGAAATATAAGCCGCCAATGTTATTTTCAGAGGCGTGCATAAGACCTTTTACAATTACCTTAGTTCTCATCCCGTCCATTTCTTCTCCCACGTCCAACCCCAGTGCCTTGCGGAATATCACAAAGGAGCGAGGCATCGTCATCACCCGTTCAACCTACCCCAGCAGCGGAAAGTGGTCGGGACATTGGCTGGGGGACAACACAGCAGCCTGGAATCAGCTCGATAAATCCATCATCGGTACGTCGACACAACCTATAACCAATGTTATGCCACATTTCTTCTTGGTTTCCTTCCTAATAATTGCATGTTTTTAGCCAAAAAGGGCTACTCAGTTGAGCAATCAGAATTTCTGGACAATTTCTTCTTGACTGTTTTCCTTCTTATCGCCTGTTAAGAAAGTCTTCATGGTTTCTGTAGGAATTGGGTTTGATTGCATGAATTTGAGTCCCCATTTACCCCTGTTGTCCTCAAAGTCCATCCCCTGTCACCTTCCCACCACCCTCTCCCTGTTGCTTGAAATCTGCTGCTTTGCTTCTTAAGAACAGCTTTCCTGGGGGAATTCTGTAAACTCTTTTCTTTTTTCATCCTGAGTTGTATGATTTAAGCAACACTCACCATACCAAATTAAAAAGCGCAATTAAAAGTTGTTCTTATTGAATTATTTTTTTCCTTGCAGGTATGATGGAGTTTAGTCTCTTTGGCGTATCTTATGTAAGCTCCCAATTTATCACCTTCTATTTCCATTATCTTTATTGACAAAAATGTAGAGTATTGCCATCGGATGTGGGGTGTTTTTTTAAATTTTCAGACAGGAGCAGATATCTGCGGCTTCTTCGGGGACTCGGAGTACGAGCTGTGTGCTCGATGGATGGAGCTGGGTGCCTTTTACCCGTACTCGAGGAATCACAACGGGAAGGGAGCCAAGGCGGGCGCCTTCCGCGTTTGCTTCGACCGAGGTTTTTTATTTCCCATCTTTTCCCCATTTCCTACATTTTTTTTATTCCCCATCTATGCCATTTTTAGGTAAATGCACCACGTCTACAAGAAGAAAATCATTATTTTTCATGTGGTCCAATTCTACTCAAACATACCAACTCTAGCAGACTAAAATAGTTGTTATTTTTTTACCTGCAGGCCATTTTCATTGAAACATACCGCACTTTGGAGACGAAAATCATGACTTTTACGGCTAAGCACATTTAGAGGGGCAAAACTGACCTTGCTGGTGTCATCCCTAATTGTTCTTCATTTCCCAGCAAACCAGAAAAGGGACCAGTGGAATGAGATTCCCGAGTGTCTGAAATCCCTGTGCTTTGCCCACTTCCTTCCCAGAAATAAAATACTGTATTTCTTTTAAGAACAAATGAAAAGAACTGTCTAAATGCAGGAGACTGTACTATAGGGAGCTGTAAAACGAGAGAACTGGAAAAATGGCAGTCAGGGAAACAGCATTTTTATCCTGGTTAGAGCTTTAGGTCGAGCGGGGCAGAGCTATTTGTCCTCCCTTAGAGAACAGAGAAATAAATAAAGGTACTCTAAATTAGAGGAGAACAAGGAGCTTGCAAGGCTCCACCCAGATCTCCTCAGCTGTGCTTTGCTGTGTCGATTTTGAGGCACGTTTGACAAGTACTGCCGCTAAACGACACGATCGTGCGGGCAATAAGATGAAAGAAAAGATGCTCAACGTGAGGTCCGTTGTAAATATTAGCAAATTCTTTTTTATTCCCCGTCTCTTCCAAACAAAACAATCCCGCCTGAGTAACAAAACACCCTTCTCTCTTGTTTAGAGGCAAGATCCTGTTGCCTGGAATTCCACATTTGAAGACGTTTCCAGGAAAGTGCTAAATATAAGATATACCCTCTTACCTTATTTGTACACGTTAATGCACGAAGCCAACGCTCACGGCAGCACCGTCGTCCGCCCTCTGCTCCACGAGTAAGTGGGGTCCTTCCTTCCCCGTTCGTACTGAATTCCTACTGAAGTCCCTGGGGTTTCCGTCGGCCTCGTAGAAAGGTTTTCCCCCGTTACAGCAGTTTTTCTCTTAAAACCGGCGAGGGATTGAGAATACGCACATTGGGCATCGGCTCGCTGTGACGGCTCAAGGCCTCCGTTCCCCACAGTGCCGACATTTTTGTCTTCTCTAGAAACGTAATTCATATATCAACTTTGAAGCTCATTCTCATCATCCCTAGTGGTTTCAGCAAATACCTTCTGCCTGGTGCTGGATATACGCAGAATCAGAGAGCACGTGCCGCAGAAACAGCTGGGCAAAACTTTTAAGCAGAGAAACAGAAACAGGGGGAGAAAATAGGGGGTTTGACACACGTTTTGAGACGTTTGCAGGGCAAGGTGACTTATTTTGGCCAAACGGATATAGCAGTTTTTAAAAAAAAAAGAAGGGGTTTATAGCAGGATGGTTTGGTTTTGTTTTTTTTTTTTAAAAAGACATGTTTTTAGAGACGTGAGGCTTCGTTGGTACCTGGTCAGAAGGGGCGATATGTCCCAAAGGCTGATCAATGCCTTAATGTTAAAGGTGAAGCCTAATGTCTAAAAATGCTTGTCTTCCGCTAAAACCCACTGACTTGTCAGCGTGTCATCCCGGCCTCATTTTGAGTAATCTGAGACGTGATTCTGACAAAGCGCCTGTCAAACAATAAACAGCGCAAATCAGAAAGTAATTGGGCCACTACTTAATTTTGCTGTTGCTAATAGCAAGCGAAAGTGTTTTTTTTTTTTTTTTTAAGTTTTGTGATGTAAATATCCTAAATAAAAATTTTAGTGCATGCGTAGGTATAGGCCAGCAAACATGAAGCAACAGCAGACGTGACAATTAAGTAATAGGTGGCATTGCCCTGAAGATTTTCACTTTAGGGTCTTAATACACTCTTGACAAGGACTAACTGATACATTTGTAAAAGAAGGGATTGATTTTTGACACGTATTATCTATTATGAAGAAGCAGGTGATAATGTTACCTGTTATTAGTGGTAGCATGCTGGCGGTTGAGGAAATGGTAGTTTTACTGAGGGGAACAAAAGGCTTCAACAAGGAAACACTTTGGGAAAGGTTGACCCCGAGGGTTCGGCCGCTCTTTTGTTACTTTGCAGGTTTGTGAGAGAGAAAACGACATGGGAAATACACAGACAATTTCTGTGGGGACCGGCACTGCTCGTCAGCCCCGCGCTGGACCAGGTGAAATAGCAGAAATAGAAATATGAGAAAAGTTGGGGAAAAAATTAGGAAATCCTAGGAACGGATGAAAATATTAGAAGTAGAGATTGGAACTACGCTTGACTTTCTGGCTTTAATAGACCTGAACGAAAAATGTGTCGTTCCAGGGTGCTGTAGCGGTGAACGCTTACCTGCCGGATGCCCGCTGGTATGATTACCACACAGTGAGTAATTTTAAAAACTCGAGTGTATTTATTTTTCCTAATATGGAAATTATTAGGAAAATTTCCATATTCGCCACCGTAACAGGTGTACGGTGTGCTGGGGTGGAGTGTGACTCCCCCGCCTCTGTTTTACCAACACGCGTCCAGTAGGAGTTTTTAGCGATGTAAAAAACTACATCTTGGCTAATTTGTTTGTTAATCACTTTGTTTTAATGTAATCCTGTTCAACGTGACCAGTAAAAAGGTGGAATAACAGCTGTAACTGAAGCGCTTCCATGTTTGCTTTTTTTTTAAACCCCTTCAAGGACACATGTAATTTCTTTTCTAGGAATGATGGTGTGGAGGAAGACAAAAGTTTTAAACAATTTTTGCAGCCTCAGGCTTTAAAAGTCACTCCGTTTATCAAGTATGCAGAATTTCAGATTGTAATCTTGCAAATACATAGTTCTGCATTAAAGAAGGATTTGCACTGACAACTTTCTTAGTATTTATGTATTTATAAACTTTCATTCTAAAAAAAAGCTTAAAATGGAAAATTCAACAGGGAGACCGAGTTTTATCTGTTGGTTTGTTTTTTTTTTAAATCATGAACAGGGTGAGTACATTGGCTTTAGGGGACAATTCAGAAATTTACCATCTCCTTTGGAACACATCAACCTCCGTATCCGAGGCGGCTACATCCTCCCTCAGCAAAGCCCTGCTACTACTACATTTTACAGGTATGATTACAATTTAGTTTAATATTTGTTTGCTTTTTAGGGGAGATATTTACTTAGTGGCCTGGCAACTAGATCGCGTATTAATTCCACGGTGCCTGCGTTTGTCTGGACTCCTTATTTTCAACCTGGGAAAAGCCAAATTTTCTGGTTTAATGTACACTGTGCTCGGAAGCATTTCCCATTTGGTATAAACATGAGCAGTCCTGAGAGAATCACCAAGTATGGCAGCACCTCAACTTCATGGCAGGTTTTTCTCCTTTTTTGGTTTCCTCCTTTAAAGGTAACGCTACGGATCGGGGAAGGCTGGTAACAGAGCTCAGTTAGGTTGTGTACAATGTCCGTAATGTAAGTTATTTATGTTGAGAAAGATAAAATGCAATTACCCACGAAAAATATTCTTTTTTTCCATAGCCGAAGAAACCCGCTGGCGCTCACCGTTGCTTTGAATGACAGTCAGCTTGCAGCAGGTCAGCTTTACTGGGATGACGGGGTGCGCATTGGTAAGTACCAAGTTTCTTGTTTGCACGCTGAATTAACTAATTCAGAGCCTACAGTGCATAAATGTCGCCTCTCTCTAGCTCAGTGCATCGCTGACACGAACAGTTAATTCTGTATTTCAGGATCAGTCCATAATTGTGCAACACGGCGTGGGACGCATGAGCACAAACCAGAAAGAAAAAAAAACTCCCCCGCCTCTGTTTTACCAACACGCGTCCAGTAGGAGTTTTTAGCGATGTAAAAAACTACATCTTGGCTAATTTGTTTGTTAATCACTTCGTTTTAATGTAATCCTGTTCAACGTGACCAGTAAAAAGGTGGAATAACAGCTGTAACTGAAGCGCTTCCATGTTTGCTTTTTTTTTAAACCCCTTCAAGGACACATGTAATTTCTTTTCTAGGAATGATGGTGTGGAGGAAGACAAAAGTTTTAAACAATTTTTGCAGCCTCAGGCTTTAAAAGTCACTCCGTTTATCAAGTATGCAGAATTTCAGATTGTAATCTTGCAAATACATAGTTCTGCATTAAAGAAGGATTTGCACTGACAACTTTCTTAGTATTTATGTATTTATAAACTTTCATTCTAAAAAAAAGCTTAAAATGGAAAATTCAACAGGGAGACCGAGTTTTATCTGTTGGGTTTTTTTTTTTTTTAAATCATGAACAGGGTGAGTACATTGGCTTTAGGGGACAATTCAGAAATTTACCATCTCCTTTGGAACACATCAACCTCCGTATCCGAGGCGGCTACATCCTCCCTCAGCAAAGCCCTGCTACTACTACATTTTACAGGTATGATTACAATTTAGTTTAATATTTTTTTGCTTTTTAGGGGAGATATTTACTTAGTGGCCTGGCAACTAGATCGCGTATTAATTACACGGCACCTGCGTTTGTCTGGACTCCTTATTTTCAACCTGGGAAAAGCCAAATTTTCTGGTTTAATGTACACTGTGCTCGGAAGCATTTCCCATTTGGTATAAACATGAGCAGTCCTGAGAGAATCACCAAGTATGGCAGCACCTCAACTTCATGGCAGGGGTTTTTTCTTTTTTTGGTTCCTCCTTTAAAGGTAACGCTACGGATCGGGGAAGGCTGGTAACAGAGCTCAGTTAGGTTGTGTACAATGTCCGTAATGTAAGTTATTTATGTTGAGAAAGATAAAATGCAATTACCCACGAAAAATATTCTTTTTTTCCATAGCCGAAGAAACCCGCTGGCGCTCACCGTTGCTTTGAATGACAGTCAGCTTGCAGCAGGTCAGCTTTACTGGGATGACGGGGTGCGCATTGGTAAGTACCAAGTTTCTTGTTTGCACGCTGAATTAACTAATTCAGAGCCTACAATGCATAAATGTCGCCTCTCTCTAGCTCAGTGCATCGCTGACACGAACAGTTAATTCTGTATTTCAGGATCAGTCCATAATTGTGCAACACGGCGTGGGACGCATGAGCACAAACCAGAAAGAAAAAAAATTACAGCGAGCCGGTTAAACTTAATTAACTAAACTAAAATTACAGTAAAATGTAAAACAGTAACACCGATAAAATGTAAAATGCTGGTACAATAGTAACCTAATGTGATTATTTATAGAATATATATATTTTGCATAAATTCAGCTGTGCCCTGGACCTAGGACAAGGTATAGAATAAGGATTTGTTCTCAAACCTATGGGGAACGTAACCACAGGTGAAGTGGGAAGCTTTAACTAATTTCCTCGATATTAATAAATTCAGACTGTCTTCAGATAAGACGTATCTGGCAGTCTCTTATCCTTTACACCTGCAGTGTAGTATCCTTGTAATAACGATAAGCTATCCCCTGAGATTATCGCAAGGAATGCACAAAATTGTGATTTATCTTTTTCTTAACATACCAACACGTTGCAGGAAGTCTGCACGAGCTATACTACACGCAGCACAATTGTTCCATTTAATTTAAAAAAAAAAAAACGGTGACCAGCAAATGCATTTTACTTTATTCTTTCTTTTTAACAGATGCGTATGAAGAGCGTGTATATCTGCTGACCTCTTTTACCGCTGATCGGGTATGTCACGGTGCCTCGCTGGTTTTGAGTACCCGGGGTGATTATTGTTGTATGTTAACTCACGTATTTTAGTTTGGCATTTTTTTTTAATGTTTCGATATCCCCACATGCTACTAACCCTTTGTGATGGACCAGCTCTTAGCCAGCATTGTGAAAATTGTTGCAGGTCTCTCCTTGTTAATTTAAAAAAAAAAAAGAAAAAAAAAAGTAATACAGGCACCACCACATCCCAGATGGATAAACAAATTTTGCAATAAATGGGGGCAAGTTAACTTACTTCAGCGGGGCGACTCCCCGCACGTTTATTTCTATTCAGTGGCTGGCCCAGCCTGAGACCTTCAAGGCAGACGCTGGTTCAGATTTGGTCCCTGCACGTCGGTTTTCAGTAAGGGAGGAGGTTTTAACATTAACTTCAAAAATTAACGTCAAGCAAAAAATCCCAGACGTACCCGTTCACGACTTCTCCTTCTATATATGAAGGAATTTAGGAGTGTTTTGTGTCCCGGCTGCAATATAATGCCGTTAATATAGTTAAGTTGTATTAAGAACGAATTTCAGCTGGCTTCAGAGGATATCTAGTTTAGCTTATCGCTGTGCTTCTTGTATATTCATGCCGTTATAATTTCTCATCACTCTGAAAAACGCCAGTTTTTGTCAAAAAGGATTTGTAGAAAACAAGAGCACGTATCAATGCAGAAAGCCAGTAAGGCCGATATTTTGCCAGCGGTGTATTCCGCCTCATTTTTGCTCATCGTTTACGTGTAAATGAATACATTTCAGCCAAGCAGCCCGTGCGTATTTTACAGCCTTGCAGTTAAGCATCTATATCCACGTAGGACACAAATTTACTTGGACAGACTGGAAAGAAGTGACTGTACACAAAATCTACCCTATCTGGAATACAGTCACAGTTAGAGCCAGGAAAGTGCTTTCAAATGGTTTAGAAACGTATCGGCAGCGATCGCCAAAGATTTTGACTACGCATCCCCAGCAGTAAAAATTTTTGAGCGCCTCCCCCCACCATACACATCTTTATTTATAAATTATATACATACCTAGATATAGAAAAAAATTGTGCTACCTACTATGATGTGCATTACAAAGCATACACAGAAACAGAAATTTAAAAAGGTGGGTAAAGGTGAAATAGATGCTATTATAAAAATAGTTTAAGTTTTATTTATTAATAGTATAAAAACATTTTCTTCCCACACCCCAGGGGATTTGTTTTGCGCACCACTGCAAGAGAGGGCGGTATTTTCCGCTGCCATTATCAAATCTCCACATTAGGAGCCTGAGGGAAAAGCAGAGAAAATCTAGTTGGGCAAAAATGGTTTAGTTTTCGTTAACAGTTGTTAATTGTTTAAAGGTTGCAGCAGAACCTTTGAACAGAGGCTGGTGTGGAGTTATTGACTCCATTTGTGGCTATTTTTTATTGTTGTTCTTCAACACAGAAGCTCGACCGTGGAGCAGTTGCTGTGCAAGAAAGTCAGCGATTAGTGGTGCTTATTATAAGTACTGGCACTTCCAGCGTGTCAGCTTTAAATTTTTTGTTTTAAGCCGTTGAATAGCTGGAATTAAATTGGACGGTGATTACACGGACTATGGGTTTAAAAGAAATGCTTTTTACATGGTAATAAATTTACCATAAATTACCAGAAATTGTGAATCCGCTATCTACCTAAACGCAAGTCAGCTGGTCCAAGAAATGCGCTCCGATTCACACTCCTATTTTGTTAGGTCTGGAACGACGAGTTTCGCAACCCATCTGACGCATTTTTGCCGTTGTAAAAGGCGATTTTAAAAAAGAAAAAAAACCTAGCAAAATGAGGAAAATGCCGGCAGGACCGGAGCGATAACCAGGGGACGCACAGAGATCTTGCCACTGAATTCAGTAGTTTGGGAAACTTCAGGGGATTACAGGAAAATGAGGAAAAAAGGTCTGAATGATGAAAACCATTGTTTTAATCCTTTCTTATGCTGCAGAGTTCACATCAGGACAAATTAATATTCAGCACCTCATTGGTAGCGGAGGAGTCTGCAAGAGATCTGCAAAGGTGGTGGAACTGGGAAAATCAAAGCCTCAAACATCTGGAAAATAAATAATAGCATAGAGTTGTTTGTTTTTTGGTTTTTTTTAAATTGAAGAAGAGTGGAAAATTGTAAGCCTCAAGTGGGCTGATAAAAGCATATCCTGAAATGTAACTGCCCAAGGATAAATCACGAACTTTCTTTTTCCTCTTCCTTCAGAATATTTTAGAGATAAAGGTTTTGCACCGTGGTTATGCCGATCCGAACAATTTGAAGTTTACTCGAATTAAAATTTTGGGGGTGACCTCAACCGTCCAGGAGGTGACGGTATCGCAGAATGGTGAAGCGATCCAATCTCCTCACGTTGCGTCTTACGACAGCCAAAACCAGGTAAGATGATGGTTTACAGGCAAATCCTGTCGTTGCTATTAGTTATGTGCTCTTAAATGCTTGGGGGTTCATCTCTTGGCTGTAATATAACTTCTAAAATATACTACTTTATTGCAGTAAAAACACTGACATCTAAAAAGTAAGAACTCAGGGTACTTTTGCAACAATTTTTTTTCCCCCTACAGAATTAATGAAGTCTCATCACAAGTCACGGTCGCACTTGTTCAGTGACATCCCCCCAAGCTAAAAATCAGTCAATGTTTAATTTAATTTACCACCCTTTCTACAGAACTCGGTGTTCTGTTGAGTCTCACTTATTTCTGCTTTTCAGTGGGAAGGCAAAAGATAATGTATTAATATATTAAAATTTATAATTATTATATGAAAGGAATATATACTATAGAAAAATATTATGTAAAATCTATAGTAACAGCATAGCAGAATATAATGTAATACAATGTAATTTAATAGAATATAAAATAAAATATAATAAATATAATAATATTATCATATAATGTATGTAACCAAAAAGATTAATTAAGATAGTGAAGAGAAGTAATCTGAGATAAGAACCAGCCATCTTCTCTGAGCTGCAGAAAACCAAGACATCTTCAGAGCAGAGTTCCTCATTGCTGGGTTTTTGTTTGTTTTTCAAAGGTCCTGGAAATCACCCGGCTTGAACTTGAATTAGGCAAAGACTACACATTGAAATGGAGCTAAAATGCCTGCAAATAACACTGGCCGTAGAGTTGAACTTCCTCATCTTCACAAGTTGTTTTTCCCTCTGCTTCTGCCTCTTTGACTTCCTAAAATACTTTGCACTATAAACATGTACCGTCAGTTTGTATTAAGTTATTATGTGCAGAAAGGAGTCGTGGTTTGGTGTTGACCCTGGCTAACTACACGCTGTCCTCATAAAACGGAATTTGGTTTTGGGCACAAGTACAAATTGGGAGAGGAGTGGCTGGAGAGCAGACCTGCAGAAAGGGATCTGGGGGTCCTGCTCAACGGGAGGCAGCAGTGTGCCCAGGCAGCCAAGAAAATTGTGTGCAGTTCTGGGTCCCACCATTTAAGAAGGATGTGAAGGTCCTGGAATGTGTCCAGAGGAGGGCAACAAAGCTGGAAGGCATGTCCTCTGAGGAGCAGCGGAGGACTCTGGGTTTGTCTTGTCTGGAGAGGAGGCTGAGGGCAACCGCATTGCGCTCTACAGCTTCCTGAGGAGGGACATGGAGAGGGAGGTGCCCCTGGGATCCAGGGGCAGGACACCTGGGAATGGGTCAAAGCTGCGCAGGGGAGGTTCAGGCTTGACATGAGGAATCATTTCTTTACCGAGAGGGTGTTCAAACCCTGGAACAGGCTTCCTGGAGAGGTGGTCGATGCCCCAAGCCTGTCAGTGTTTAAGAGGCATTTGGACAACACCCTTATTAACACGCTTTAACTTTTGGTCAGCCCTGGAGTGGTCAAGCAGTTGGTCTAGAGGATTGTTGTAGCTCAATTCCAACTGAAAAATATTCCGTTCCGTTCCGTTCCGTTCCATTCCATTCCCCTGCCTTGTGCATGTGCTTCTGATCTTGCATGTGGCTGACAGGGCAGGATCAGGCCCCTGGCTTGTGCACATGGTTGTGATGTCACGTTTTTCTGTTTAGCTGATTGGTCAAGATCAGGCCCTTCGCTTTTGCAGCTGCTTGTGATGTTACAGGTGGTTGAGTGGCCGATAGGGCAGGAGCGGGTACCTGCAATGGTTTGACGAATGGATTGATGGATGGACGAATGTTTGGATGGATGGACGGATGAATTGGAAGGTTGGAGTGACTGAGCAAAACTTGCAGCTCTTGTCACTCCAGGTCCAGCCTGCTCCTGAATTTCAAACCCTGGGAAAATGCTAAAGAGAGTGCCTTTGTGCCTCTGTCTCCCGGGCACACCAGGAGTGCCCTATTGGGTCCCTCCATGGCGAAGGATGAAAGACAGGCAATAAGAAAAACATTCCTGCACCCTGAACATCTTCATCATAAGAGCAGAAGTGTCTTTTCAAGCAAGGCTTTTCTGCCACAACTTGGTATTTTATGAAAATAGCAAACGGGGACGGTGCTGGAAAAGGCAGAGGCTGAAGGTTTTAGCCATCGTTGGCGCTCCTCTGTAGAGCTCATTGGGAAAACACAGAGTTTGATCTCTATTTGCCCCATGCCCCAGCTTCTACCCGTAGAAATACACCATGTTCCCACACACAGTGGGTTGTGTCTCCTTGTACAAAGGGGAATTCAGCCCCATTGAGCATGCCTGATTTACGCCACGTGCATCCGGGAAAGAGGTGATGTGTGCCTGAGGCTTCCTGCGCTGCCCGGCATTTGGGCTGATGCCCACCGCATGGTGTAAGCCAGCACGGAGAGGGGAAGTCAGATTGGAACTTCCTTGTGCGGGCAGTGGGCAGGCTGCAGAGTCTTGGAAATCGCCCGTTTCCCAGGGCTGATTTGCACCCTCTGGCCCAAGGGCGTGGTGGCTAGCTTCTGCAATGCTCCTGTGCTGGGGTGGGCTGTCTACTCTTCTTTGGAAGCAGATGCCCGACGAAGGGGTCTGATCCCCAGGGTGGTTTGCCATGTAAGCGTGACCCCCTCATCACACCCCTCCTGCCCATGTTTCTCTCCCCAAGACATCAGCCCTCTACAGATGCAGGCCAGAAGGTAGAAGGTATCAACCGTACAGACGCTAGATGTATTTATTGGACCTGGACAGCCAACACAAGGCAAGCCAGAGGGGCAAGGAATGGATCTGGGCATGTGTCCTCCTCCCCGACCCCTTCTCCTTCAGCTGGACCACACAGCCCAGAGATTAAAGCCCAAGATGCAGGGGTCCCCCAAAGGAGGCTGAATTGCAGCTGCAAATAAGAACCAGGTATAATGGGAACGTTATGGGATTATCGGTGGGATAGAGCAGAGGCGCACACACAAAAACACAAGCACACGCTTTGGGAAGGAGCATGGAGCCCAGCTCCAAAAATGAAAACACAGTGACTCCTCCCCCATGAAAGGTGCCAGGACTGAAAGCTGTTGCCGGCCATCACCTTCCCTTGGCAGCTCTTCCACTGCCCCACAACCACTGGGGCTCTGAGCTTGCCTAGATGCCTCACTGTGATGACGTTCCCTCTGAGCTTCGCCAGAATCGAGCTTTCCAGAGTGAACAGCCGTCTGGGCTGCGGTGGCCAGCTACGTCCAACAACAGTTCCTGCTGTGCCAGGTGGGGCAGCACCCACATCCTCCTTGTCCCCCCCAGAGAACTGGGGAGTCCCCATGGCCCTGGGGCATGGCCTGCAGTTACACTTCCCCTCCCCAGCAAGCCCACCCCATAAGTCCCCACTGGGGGAGAAACAGGACTTTTGCAATGTGGTGTCACCTCCGGCAGGTGGTATCGTACCGCAGGGCTGATCCCGGTCGCTGGAGACCCCTGGATGCCCTCGGGCCATACACCCTGGCCCCTTACACCCAGGGCCATAAGGGACCGCTGCGTCACCACCGCTGTGTCACCGTCACATCACTGTCACCACATCACCCTCATGGCGTCACCTTGTCCCCAGTGTTCCCCTCGTCACCCCCCAGGTCATCCCTGTTCAGTGCATGGAGCCATGGCTGTGCGCTAAGGATTGTCACCGTGTCACTGTCACCGGATCACCAAGGTTACCCTCACCCCCGCCCAGGTCACCCCCGCCAGCACATGGAGTTGTGGCCGCTCACTAAGGACTGCCACCATGTCACCGTGTCACCGCGTCCCCAGCATCACCTCCTGCTCCGTCACCTCCCCCTGAGGACTGTCCCCACTGTCACCGTCACCACCGTCCCCAACATCACCACCGCCCCCGTGTCACCTGCCCCTGGGTCACCCCCACCCTGGTGTCACCCTCCTTGGTGCCACCACTGCCACCAGCCCTGGGGAGGATGACGGCACCCGGGGCGGGGGGAGGGACCCTGGCGTGCCATGAGGGGACACCGGCGTGCCACAGGGGGACCCAGGAGTGTCGTGGGGGGACCCAGGCGTGTCACGAGGGGACCCCGGCGTGCCACGGGGGGACCCAGACATGCCGCGGGGAGACCCCGGCGTGCCAGCGGGGAGGGGGGGAACCCAGGCGTGTCGGAAGGATACAGGACAATGCCGGCCAGCAGCCAGTAGTCGTGGCGCCGGTGCCAGATCTCATTGAGCTTCCCCGAGGAGATGGCGGCGCGCTCCTCGTTCTGCCACAGCGTGTGCAGCTCTGTGGGGTGGGGCGGGGGCGTCAGGTAAGCGGGAACCCCGGCGTGTCAGTCCATCCGTCAGTCCCGCCCCCCGCCCCGTCACCTGCTCACCCGTGAAGCCGCCATCGGCGATGTTGAACATGAAGCGCGGCTTCTCGGCCTTGTCATCCCGCCGGCCGTTGGTGCGCGCCTCCAGCTTGGGCTCCTTCTCAGCCTTCACCTCCTCTGCGCGGGGGG